CCTCATGCTAAAAAGGAGGAGAAATGAAGACAGATGCAGGTTGGGGTGGGCAGGGTACAGCTCAGTGTTAGAGTGCATGCTTAGCATGCCCAGGGTCCTGGGTTCAATCCCCAGGACCTCTATTAAAATAAATAAATAAACCCAATTTTTTCCTCCCCTCAAAAATAATTTTAAAAAATACAGATGGATTGGCAACTGGCATCCAGCCATGTTCTGCTCCAGAAATAACTAGGCGAGGAGCTTAGAGTCTTCTGCTGGGAATTTTGAAATGTCTGTTGACTGTAACAGACTTCTCCTGGATCTATTGATTAAACAGACCAGGCTGCAGCTGGGACTGGGAAGGCACGGGGTGGGGGGTGACCCAAACCCCAACCTGGAGTTCCCCCCAACCTGCTGTCTTCCCAAAGACGACTCTGATTGGTAGAGAGTGGAATTCAGCAGGCCAAGTGGCGGGCATCACCCTCGGGAATGTCTGCCCAGGTAACTTCACGTGACACGGCCCGATTCCCTGGCCGAAGGTGGACAGACAACCTTGCCCGGAGCCTGACGTTGCTGGAGCCAGGAGCCTGGAGAGCAGCTACAGAAAGGCCTGGAAGGCAGGCCCCCGGGTACTTAACCTCCCTGAACCTCTGTCTCTTCATCTGTACGTGAGAATGAAATAGTGTCTGTGATGTGAGTAGCGCAGAGTCTGGCGTGTGATCAGTGACTGATAGAAGGTGGCTGTTGTCACCAGTGTTTCCACCTCAGTTAAATCATTTTGTGGAAATAACTCTGTGTTTAAACTACCAGCTGATCCACACGACTCAACATTGAAAAACAATGTTGTTTATTAAGCAGTACTGAGAAGTCGTGAATTTTCATTCATAGGTACTTTCTTTTACAAACACCCTAGAAGGCACAATGGATAAAACAGATTCACTAAAGATTGTAACAGGTAAGGGAGAAGACACTGCCCAGGTAAGGAAACATTTTACAACTGATCAAGAGATAAAGCTCTGTGAGTCTGTTTCTGTTTTCTTATATTCATTTGTTTGTTTTTTAAATTCCACATATAAGTGATAACATACAGCATTTATCTTTCTCTGTCTGATTTACTTCACTAAACATAATACCCCACAGGACCATCCATGTCGTTGCAAATGGAAAAGTTTCATTGTTTTTCATGGCTGAGTAATATTCCATCGCACCACACAGACATAGAGAACACATTCGTGGTCACCAGTGGGGCGAGGAAAGGGGGTAAGCAAGATAGAAGTAGGAGATTAAGAGGTGCAAAATACTATATATAAAATAAATAAGCTACAAGGATGTAATGTATAGTACAGGGAATATCGCCAATATCGTATAATAACTATATGGAGTGCAATCTATAAAAATATTGAATCACTATATTGTACACCTGAAGCTAATATAAAAGTGTAAATCAACTATACCTCAATTAAAAAAAGAGATAAAGATCATTTACAAAATTACTCAACCTCACCATGGATCAAAAAGATTATACTATCAAACTAATGGATTTTTTTGTTTCTTTCTTTCAGTCTCTTTCTCCTTCCTCCCTCCTTTCTTTTCTTCTTTCCTTCCTTCTTTCCTTTTTCTTTTTTTTTTTTGTTCTTTTATTCTTTCTTTCATTCTTTCTTTTTCTTTCTTAATGAGAATAGCAAGGATGACAAGGATATTATGAACTAGACACACTTACAAATGGCGAGAGGTATTCAAAAGGGGTACATCTTTCTTTTTTCCCTCTTTCTTTTCTTCCTTTTCCTCCAACTTCCCTCCCTTCCTTTCTGTCCTAGTGTTTTATTATGGAAAATTGTGAACATACACAGAAGTAGAGAGAGCGGGATCATGAACTTCCACACACCCATCGCCCAGCTCAACGTTCATTTTGTCACTAATGTTGTTCTACCTGTTCCCCACCCTACTCGTGTTGTTTGTTTTGCTAGAGCATTTTGAAGTAAATTTCAGATATCCTCTCTCCTGTAAATATTCAAAATGAAGTATCTTTAACATACTCAAAATGCCATTATCACACCCACCAAAATTAGTAATGGTTCCTTTATATTAAAAATTCACCTGTTTAGAAATTTACATCAAGAACATAGTCATACACTTTGATGCAGTAACTTTGTCTCTCTTTTCCTAACTAATTAGAGAAAAAAATTAATTCTGTAGCCGTATTTCTAAAAGAAAATACATCATTGGAAACTTGGATGTTTAACAACAGTAATTACAGTATGTTCAAGCAATAATATATATAAAGCTTTAAGGCTGAGTAGCAATGTTTAGAGTTAATGCAACTAAGATCAAGCAGAATGTAAAATTATGAAATCAGGGTGAGATTTGTAAATAGGCATATGATAGTTTTCACTGAGCACTGACTATGCCTCCAACATTATAGAAACAGTGTTAATCAAAAGATACGAACACTATTAATGCCTCTTACAGATGAGGAAACTGCTGTTCAGAGAGATAAAATAACTTTCTAGAATAACCCTCCGCTAATAAGCAGTAAACTCAGGCATGGTGGGACCCCAGTTTTGTCTGGCTCCACAGCCCAGGAATTTAAGTATTACCCTGCCACCCTCGGCATCAAAATGTCATCAGAAGTTGTCACTGACTGAGCAGTGAGATTATAGGCGGCTCCTTTTTCTTCTTCACACCTTTCACTTTGTAACATCTTCTACTGCGGATATTAGTAATTTTATGTTAGAACAAAATATGTTCAATTACATAGTTAAACCTTTTTATTTAAAACTAAAGAGGACACATTTAGTGCATGTCCGAGATAAAGGGTTATCACGACCAGTGTTCAAAAAGCTCCTATAAATCGATGAGAAAAAAAGATAAACTCAAGGGAGAAAGATGCAACTCAGAAATCTACTGGCTAATGCTATTTAAAAAGATCTACGTGTAAAATTATTATAAATCAATAAAAATGTTTAAAAAAATCAAAAAATCAAAAAAGATGCAAAAAAATTTTTTTAATAAAAAGATCCTTCATCTCACTAGTAGCCCAGTTAAAACCATGATGAGATACCATTTTCCATCTTCTCAAATTGGCAAACATTTTAAAAATTCATAATATTCGTGTGCTGGTGAGGAGATGGGAAAAGAGGCACTCTGACCCACTCCTGGTAGGAAGGGGGCTGTTCTGGCACTGCAATTATTTATATTAATAAATATTAACACTACGTACCCATACTGTTTGATCCAGCAACCTCACTTACAGAAATCAAAGCATCATTTGTAAGGATCCACATTGATGAGTAGTTATTGCTGCATTATTTGTAGGGAGGAAATGGAAAAGCATGGCTCTCCACCAATTGGAAAATATTTTAATAAATCAAAGTTTACTCATTCAGTGGAGTATCAGACTGCCATTAAAATAATTAGACCGATAAGTAATGACCTGTGAAAAAGAAAATGCAGAATAGTATGTAATAACCTCATTATCACGTGTGGTCTCTTGTCCAGCAGCACAAGCATCCTCTGGGAGCATCTTGGAAATGCAGAAGCTTGTCCCACCCCAGACCTAGCGAGCCAGAGTCCGCATTTTAGCACGATTCCCTACGGAAACACTGGTGTGTACTGTGGTCCTATAAAGGGGATGTCGTCTCACATATTGCAGCAAAAATGAATAATCATCCACTCAAACCCATCCTTTCATTCTATGCTACCAACTGCTCACTTTTAGCTGGGCACACAGCCACCAAGGACAAAGGTGGCATCTCCCAGCCTTCTTGGCAGTTTAGTGGGACCACGTGGCTAAGCTCTAGCCAAGAGGACGAGACTGGACGTGAAGAAGAGCATGTCTGAATTGTGGCCCTCAAAGGGACATCACCTGGATTCCCCTGGTCGGTCCTGGCTTTCTGCTAACTGAAAAATGTCAGTAACTGAGGTTGTCCCTGGGTTAGTCTGTTCAGCTGCCGTGACAAAATGCCACAGGCTGGGCTTAAAGAACAGACATTTACTTTCTCACAGTTTGGAGGCTGGAAAGTCCAAGAATAAGGTCTGGCAGGGTTTGGTTTCTAGAGAGGCCTCTTTTCATGGCTTGCAAGCCAGCTTTTTGCCATGTCCTTACATAGCCTTTCCTTGGTGTGTGTGTGTGTGTGTGTGTGTGTAGAAAGCTCTTTCTCTTCCTCTTTTTAAAAGGCCACCAATCCTATCAGGTGAGGGCCCCACCCTTATCACCTCATTTAACCTTAATTACGACCTTAAAGGCCTCATCTCCAAACACAGCCACACTGGGGGGTTAGGGTTTCAACACATGAATTTGGAGGGTGGAGGACACAATTTAGCTCATATCAGACACCTTAGACTCAGCGGTAGAAGCCACTGCAAAGAATATCCTTCTCCCTTCTTGTCTGCCTCCCTCTGAACTGTTAGATGAGAGAGAAACTAGGATGTCACTCAAGCCATTGTGCTCTGGTCCTCTTTGTTATAGCAGCTTAGCCCGTTTCCTACCTGACTCATCCACTATCTGTTTACAAAGATCCACTGGACAAGAAGGAAAGTGTGAACTGATGCCCTCTAAATGGTTACTGTTGATTGGTACAAGGGTGGGAGTGGTGAATAAATTACAATAAGAGTATTGAGGTAAAAAGTTACCCAACAGGATTTCAGGTTCTGCAATCACACCCAACATTCAGATGACTGGGAAAGATGATTTGTCCCATATTGTAAAGTAAATGCCTAAAACAGTAAGACTCTTTCCAGCGGGACTCTGACTCAGAATGAGACCTCACACACATCGAGCCCTGCACACATACCCATCTTCCTCCTCCCCCTCCGTCCCTCCCTTGCTCTCTCTCTGGTGGGGATGCTGCGCCCGGGGCAGGCCAGGGAGCCAGGTAGAGCAAGCACAGCCCCGGTGCTGCTGGAACATCTTCCCAGGGTTTAATTTTCAGTTCTCATCTCTGCACTCCAAGGGCAGAGCAGGGGTTTCCTCGGGAGACGGCGGACTTTCCACAGCGCCCTTGGCAGGTGTGTCTGCCTTCCTACTGGTAAAACGGCATCAAGGGTCCCCATCGGTTCAAGACGGGGACCTTGACCGTACAGTGGTAAGGGCAGGTGCAGCCAGGCAGCAGGAGGTAGCCTTTGCCCACCTCCGCAGCGGGCTGACGCTCGGGCTCCAGAAGGGACCGGAAATCGGCATCCTGGCGAGGCCGGCTGGGATGCCTGTGGGCCAGGTACAGAGCGTGGGAAGCCGGGGACATGGAAGGACAGGCGCTGAGGAACCTGCATTCGTCCTCCCCTGTGGCCACGTGGTCCTGTGGTGGGAAGAAGCCAGGTCGCCCCAGGTCTCTGGCGGTCATGTAGGGTCTTTTGAAGGCAGGGTATCCATCTTCTAGCTTGGGGTTGGGGCTGGGGGTGGGCCTATAAAACTCTTTCTCCTGGAGCTGGATGGCCAGCTTTTCTTGCTGCGGAAACAAATCACACATGAAGAAAGGCTAAGAGAGGTGCAATGCCATCTTCTTCCTTGGAGGTATTCAAGACAGAGCACACTTTACTTTTCAGAAAGAAAATTTAGTTTTGTTAATATATACGACAGAGGGAGACACTGAAATCATACAAAAGGGAGTATTGCAAAAGGTCAGTTTCCTATCCTCTCCCTCTCTCGGTTCCCATCTCCAGAGGCAACCACTGTCATCAGTCTGTTTTGTGTCTTTCCAGAAGTATTTTCTGTACATATAAACAGATGTATATATCCCATATGATACACAAATGACACATTCTATAATGCCACCCTGCAGTTTGCTTCACCTAATTAGTGTATCTCAGAAACTGTTCCACCTCCGTTTGTATAGATCTTCTTATTAATTTTAGCAGGGCTACCTCAAGCTAGGAAAAGATTTCTTAAACAAGAGCCAAAAATGGTAAAGAAAAAGACTGATACATCTGGCTGTATTAAAATAAGAATTTCCATTCGGTGAAAGAGAGTGAAAAGACAAACCACAGACTGGAGCTTTGCCAGTTATATAACTGACAAATGAAAGATGTCCAGACTACAAATTAATAAGAAAAAAGACAAGCAACCCAATTTAAAAAAATGGGCTAAAGACATCAACAGGCACTTCACCAATAATAAATCTCCATGAAAATATGCTGAACCTCATTAATAATCAGTGAAACAAAAATTATTATAACAAGAAAAAAATTTTTTTTCCTAGGTTTTTTTGGGGGAAGAATTAGGCTTATTTATATGCATTTATCTGGAGGTACTGGAAATTGAACCCAGGACCTCATGCATGCTAAGCATGCTCTCTACCACTGTATACCCTCTCCATCTTTTTTTTTTTAAAACAGAGATAATGGGGATTGAACCCAGGACCTTGTGCTTGCTAAGCTCATGCTCCACCACTGAGCTGTAACTACCCCCAAGAAAAGATGATTTCAAACCCACCAAACTGGCAAAAACTTTAAAGTCTGACAATATCAAGTAATGGCAAGATTGGAGAGCTGTGAGATTGTGCTGGTGAGGAAATAAGCTGATGCAACCGCTCTGGAAAATGGAGATGTCACCTACGACGGGTGAGCTCCTCGCTGTGCCTCGTCTTTATTCAGCATTTGTGGGTGGGGGGAGTAACAAAAAAAGTAAATAACCCAAATGTCTGCTGATAGGACAAAAGACAAATGTGCTGTGGCACATTTATGCGATGTAATATTATACAGCAGAAAATGAATAATATGCCATAATGTTCTGCACAAAATAGAAGTCACGGAAGAGGACAAATAATATAATCCAATAATAATGTTCAAAAACGGCAAACGTAAATAATGTATTTAAAAAGATACATACATATAAGATAAAACTATTAAAAAAAATACACACAAGGGAGCGATTAACCCAAAACTCAGAAGAATGTTTAGTTACCTCTGGGGGTGGGGTTGAGTAAGGAGGGAGGGGCACCTGGGGCTCCAGGGTACTCTTTTTTCCTTTTTCTCTTTTTTTTTTTTTTGGTTAGAGGAGGGGAGGTAATTAGGTTTATTTATTTATTTATTTTTAATGGAGGTACTGGGGATTGAACCCAGGACCTCATGCATGCTAGGCATGCACTTTACCACTGAGCTGCACCCTCCCCACCAGGCTACTCTTAATGTGCTGTCTTTTAAGCTGGCTGATAATAGGGACATGGATGTCAGCTTTATCCATGTTATTTAAGCTGTCAATGTATATTAGTTACACTCCTCTGTATGCACGACTTATACTGGATGTCCATTTTAAAGCAATACAATACATGTACACCGAAAAGACCTCTTTAGATCTCCCAGCATCGGATATTGTTCTAAATAAATGCCCCTGATGTTCACACTCATAGTAAAAATGGAATAAATGTGGTTTCAGTGGACAGCTGAATTCACTGAGCCTCACCTCTTCCGGTGTGACTCTGGAGTACTTGTGCTTCCCGTAGGGTTTGTAGTCGATCATGTAGGAGCTTTGGTATATGTCTAAATCCACAGGGGCCTACAGGACAAGAGGGAACACAGAACAAGAAGTCCCCCCTCCCCTGCCAGCCACCCTTCCACTTCAGGCTTCAGTGGCTTCTCATTGTCGGCAGGACACAGGCCAACTTTGGGCCTGGCATCCGGAGCCCATGGTGATCAGGCTTCCACTGGCCTTCAACATCTCAGTCTCCCCGGCCCCCCCACGCCCAGTACTCCAGCCTCGCTGCTCTCCTCTCTCCACAGGTGCCTGGCGCATGCTCTGACCTCCTGCTGGAAACCCGAGGTGTCCTCATCACCACTTGGCAAACTCCTACACATCCTCCAAGAGCCCTCCCCAAACATCTCTCCCCCCTTTTATTCTCCCCCTCCCAAAGATTAAATGCTTTCTCGTCTGCTTTCATTTTACACCCTTCACTACAGCACTTACCCCAGAGTGCTGTCCTTGGTTTAATGAAGGCCACTCGATTAGGCTAATCTTAGGCATCTCTGCAGCCTCAAAGCCCAGCGCACTGCCCGACACACCAAAAGTGCCTAATAAGTGCACGCTGAGAAAACAAACCCCTAGAAAATTGTTAACCCTTAGCTTTCCTCTGCCTGTTTCAAAAAAAAACACAAAACAAAAACAAAAAACAATAAAAACAACCACCATTCCAGGATGACAGCCAGAGGGAGCCCCAGGGAGCCTGGCCCTCCCCTGGGGCTGTTCACCCAACCTTGAGATGGTCAGGGGACAGAGGCCCACGACACTTACCTGTCTGGGGTATACCACACCTGCCATAGCAGATGACCGCGACACAGACAGGTTGGTTAGACCCGCCTCTGCCACACACAGAGAAAGCAGCGACTGTCCCCAAGGCTGCGCCCACGAAGCATGACTGCCCCAGCCCTCCTAGCCCCGCCCTGCTGGATAGTAAATCTGATGCTCTCAGCAGCTCCAGTTCCTTCTGAGACCTGCTCCAGCCCTTTGTCCCAGGACCCGTCTCCACCAACCCAGGTCCCCCTGCTGCCTGCCGGGGCCTGAGGCATGTGCAGGGCAAGCGGTGTGCTGGGAACCGTTTAACAATCACCTTTGTGGGGCAAATAAACCAGTTTATAGCATTTGCCAACTTCTGTGGTGTAAATGCTCCCCCTCTGGCCCATTTAGAACTATCCATATAATGTCCTGACGCTGCGTTGTAAAGATGTGCACGGAATGCACTCCCAGAGCTGGGATGAGCTGACTCCACCCCCAGGACTCGTGAGCCAGGGCTCCGAACTGCCCCGAGGAAGCGAGCTTCAGGCCCAGGACTAAGAAGCGAGGCGCCCTAATGCAGACACACAAACCGTGTTTCTAGCGGAGACTAGAGGGATCCGGGGTGAGGAAAGTTGTGAGGCTCTGCATGCTCAGTTAACAAGAGCAATCCATAGGTCCAGCCCAGCCTCTCACCCCCAGCCCGGAAGGAGGAGGGCTTGCTTCCGGGGCTTTGGAGAGCTCGCTGAGCCCACCCCATCTTGTGTGCATGGCTCCCTGGCTTCTTGATTGGTACTCCGTTTCATCCCCATGGAACCCCGCCCCAGGTCCCACTCCATTCAGGAGCTAGGGACCAGTAGGGTGGTTGCTGGACCTCAGATGGTCCCCATGTCCCCTCCCTTCTGTGCCTAGACAGCTGGTCTCCTGGGCTGGGGACCAGCTTCAGTGCAAACAGTATCTACCCTTCCTTCTGCCAAGGGGACAACGATGCTCCTGTGCCCTTCCAGCTCCAAGTGCCCCTGCTGCCTGGAGAGTCCTGCTGCCATGTCCCACAGCTGCACCTGTCTCTGAGATGAACCCTGACCTACATGATGCAGGCTGTTTTGGTCACAGTGCCCAGTCATTGTGATGGGGAGACTGGTCAACCTGCTGCATGTCCATCCCCCTGTCCCTGGCTCACCTCTGTCACAGGGAGCAGCTGGTGTCCCAGCACACCTGACCCAACATGAAGGTACCCGGGAGACAGGGCTTTCCAGCGCTCTGTGGAATTGGTGTATTTCCAGAAAAGGGAGGTAAACAGGACCCCATGGGGATTATGACATCAGACTGTGTGTGACTAAGTCCAGCTCATACCATAGCCCCTCCAGGCCTCCTTTGCCTGAAAGGCTGGCTTAGCACTCCTCTGTCTGTCAAAATTCCACCCTCTTTCACATCCATTGAGATGGCTGTAATCCAAAAACAAAAAAATAGCACGTGTTGACAAGGACGTGGAGAAACTGGAATGCCTCTGCATTGCTGGTGGGAATGTAAAATGGTGCCACCCCTGTGGAAAAGAGTCTGATGGTTCCACAAAGATTAAATATAAATTTGCTGCATGATCCTGCAATTCCACCTCTGAGTATTTATCCCAAAGAACTGAAAGCAGGGACTCGAACAAAGACTTGTATACTCATGTTTCTAGCACCATTATTCACAACAGCCAAAAGATGGAAGCTACCCAAATGCTCATCAGCAGATGAGTAGATAAACTGTGATATATGCATACAATGAAATATTATTCAGCCTTCAAAAAGAGGGGAATTCTGGCACATGTTATGACATAGATGAACCTTGAAAACATCGTTAAGTGAAATAAGCTAGGCCATAAAGGACAAATATTGTATGATTCCACTTGTCTGAGGTACCTGAGTCATCAAATTCATAGACACAGAAAGTAGAAACAGTGGTTGCCAAGGGGCTGGGTGCAATGGCTGTAGAGTTTCAGTTTGGGAAGATAAAAGAGTTCTGGAAATGAACAGTGGTGATGACTGCACAACATTGTAAAAATACTTAACGTCATCAAAGTGCATGCTGAAGATGGTTAAAATGAGAAATTTTGCATGTATTTACCATTTGCATAAATATTAATATATTTACCACAATAAAAATAAATTCTACTCTCTTTGAAGGTGACCTCTTTCATGAAGCCTTCCTTGATTTCTCACTGGGTGCCATCATAAACTCCTTTCATTTATCCAACCAATATCTATTGCACATTTATTTCATGCTGGGCAGTGTTCTGAATCTTGCAATTTCAACAGTGAACAAAATAGATGGAAATGCCTGCTTACAGTCTGGTGAGAACAAAACACAGAGGAAACAAAGTAATAAGCGATTCATCCCCCATTAGATCCAGCAAACAAGCAAGATGACTGTGGGCGAATGACTGAGTGGGTCTAAGAAGGCCTCTCTGAGAGGGAGACGTTAGAGAAGAGATCTAAAGTGTAAAAAGAACCAGCCACACGAAGATCTGGAGAAAAGGGGTTCCCAGCACAGGGGTCAGCAGTACAAGTCTATAAGACAGGAACACCTTGGAACAAGAAGGGCCAAGGAAAGGAATGGGTTAGGGCATGAAGCCAAGAGAGGGAGTGTGTTGTGAATCTCTGACTTTCCTTTCTTTCTCTCCCTGTAGAGAGCTATTTTTCTCCCTTTTTAAGAATCAAGCAGTTTGGCTGGTTCTGACCCTAGCTGTAAATTGGCATGTTGTCCCCAGAATATTCCATCCTCTAGGTCACCATGATTGATTCAGGGACAGGCTCAAGACCCAAGGTGGGCTGACGAGCATCGTCCCCAGCTCTTGGGAAAGAGGCTCTCTTTCTGATGGTGGGCCCTGAGAACTACGTGGCCCTGGAGCTGCCTGGGCCAACTTTGCCACCATGTGGAGAGACCCTAGCTAAGAATAAAATCAGCAGAGCAAAGAAGATCCAAGAGATGGAGACAGAGAGTGATGGCATTGTGAGGGCACTGAGCCCCTGGATACAACCATGCCTGAAGCTGGAGCTACACCTAGACTTTGCAGTTCATGTGAGCCAATATATTCCTTACAGCTGAGGCAGCCCCAACAAATTAAAGGCTCAAGATCTAAAGTAGTTATTTTTCCTAACAAACTGGGGTCCTTGAGGTAAAGAACTAGGTCTTACCGTTTTATCCCTCAGTGCACTGTCACTTAAGTGTACAGATTTAAGACGTGATTGTGAATTTAATAGAACTAGAAGAGAAGAGCAGAGATAGGAGTAGAGAGGACTGTTGGAGCACAGAAAGTGATTTCTGTGCCTCAAGGATATATTTTTCAGGAAAATATTACCAAGTTGATTTTGGGGAGATGAGTTCGCAGTCCACTGGATGATGACGGTGGCTGGGACAGCTTGGAGGAGATGGTGGTAGATATAGAGGAGAGGGGTAGATTCAAGAGGCATTTTGGAAATAAACTCTTTAGCACTTAATCATTAGGGAGTGAAACACAGGGGCAAGACAGAGGTATCAAAGATGATTTGTAGAGTTTTGGAAGGAGTCTTTGGGGGTTAATGGTCCTCTGATGAGGTGGGAAAGGCTGGAGGAGGAGCCAGTTTGGTGAGCACCACCATCATATGGCAGCTGTGCCGCCCGTGGGCCATCCAGTGAGTACAGTGATCTACAGCTCAGGGAAGAAAGTTCAGGACGTGTGAGACACGCTCTGAAACTGCTGGTGAGACTGGTGGTATTTGAAGCTCAGATGTGTTATTAATTTACTGTATTTAGGGACCACACAGCCCTAGGATGTGACACTGGCCTAAAGAGCACCCTACTGCCTCCCTAAACAAGTGGAAAAGCGACAGGGGTCCATGCACTCGGTCTTCCTTTTGGTCCCTTGTGTTTGCCATTCTTGCTGTGGTCAGGTTTCTTTCTGCAGATCCTCGTGGCTTCAGCGTTAGTGCAGCAACATTAATGCAACAGCCTGCAGTGCCAGGATCTCAGGGGGGCCACCCACGGTCACAGGTACGCAGCAGCCAGCATGGGCAAGTTCACTCCTGGAGCCTCAGTGTCCCCATCTCTTCAATGAGAATTGAAATGCTGTGTTGTGCTGGGCAGACTTCCTCCACCCCGATTTCAACAGAGACAAAGTTTTGTAAAGCTGAGTCACCGCAGAATCTCACATTGTACCAATTTTTAAGTTTTTACAGTGCAATATATGTTATTTTTGTGAAGTACAAAACATAGCTAAGTTTCTCAGGGTTCTTGCAGCCTCCTTCAGCAGCACATGAGGGAGGATCTTTTCAACATTTGTCAGGGATGAAAAATAAACCAGAAAGCAAATCCTGCTTTTTTTTTTTTTTTTAAGCTGAAATCACATACAAGGGTTGGGTTCAAATTGGGTGGGTTAAGATGAACTAAACCCCATAATGGAAACCAATATGAGTGTATTTCTAAAAGCATGATTAAGGTGAACTAAATGTTATTTTTTTAAAATTGAAGTATAGTTGATTTACAATGTTGTGTTAGTTTCAGGTGTATAGCAAAGTGATTCAATGATACACATACATGTGTATATATATTCTTTTTCAGATTCTTTTCCATTATAGGTTATTACAAGACACTGAATACAGTTCCCTGTGCTATACAGTAGGTCCTTGTGGTTTATCACTTTTATACGTAGTAGTGTGTGTCTGTTAATCTCAAACTCCTAAGAAGTAAATGTTATTTTTAAAGCACACACAAAAAGATTGTGCTGATGGGATTCAATAAAGTGTATACAAAGCACAGGGCGCACCAAAGGCTCCCAACAAAATCCCCTCCTTCCTCCATCCAGTGAGGATGTTCACCTCTGTATCTTCATTTCCTTATTGATAAAATACATTTCACAGGTGGGACAGAAAAACTAAAGGAGAAAAATGTATATTATACCCTGGCATCTGGTCTGGTATGCCGTAGGAGCTTAATTATTGCAACCTTCATTCATCTGACAAAGACTCCGCTCAGCTTTCCCTGAAGGGAAAGCGGGGCCCCAGGTTTCTGTCTATGCAAATACTGCG